CAAAACGGCATGATTTTAACAAAAGTCGATTTTATCCGCAAAACTGAAGAAAAAAATGGATCAAAGTGGAAAAACTGTAGGACTTAACGAGAAAACGTTTCTTACACTCCGGAGTCTCCTACATTGTACCAAGAAAGAAGAAATTTCATGGACTCGATTCACGTTTATCAAAAGATAGAACCCAGGATTCTAGTTCAAGGCGAGAAAGCAAATATTACTACCTGTAGGAGCTTGAAACAAACGAACAAACAAACCTTTTAAATCTTTGATGATCATCAAAACTTTCTCTAACTCTGGATCATTCTTCTTCACATACGTGGTTAGGATGGACAGAAGATATCTACAAATAAATTAGGCAGAATTAAGGCGTTCACATACATACGCACTGTTCTCTGATAGAGAGCCAGGAACGAGCTAATTCCTCTCCAGTCGCCTCTCTGTTGGAAATGCACGGGAATAGTTCCCTTCGTGCTCTTCGTTGCGTGCTGATGAATGACTCGTTTCCATATCGCTTGCACTTTCAGACACCACAGATAAGTTAAAACTGGGAACTAGTCAGTAGCGAAACCTCAGAAAACTAATGCTACTCACTTAAAATATACTCAAACCAGTAATTATGACTTACTTGTTATGGCCAACAGCTTCCAAGGCAACGCGCACAGCATCACAAACTCGATCAACTTTACTTAACTCATCACCTGGAGACGCAACAGGGCTGTTGAAAGAAGAACCGTCTTAAAATACTGCGACGCAACAAGCGCTCGTTATTAGTGCTCCTGCACGAACTTTTCTCTGCCCGTGGGAAGTATGAGACCTTGAACAATACGAGTCGGCGACAGCTCTGAAAGGAGTCTAACCAAACCTCTACCCAACTCGTCTCCAATCTTCCCACGTGCAGGGAAACACGCGTCTTGCCGCGCTTATAGTGAGAGCTCCTTTCAAACAATCTAAAAAGACGCCAGTGCGCCAGCAAAAGGTGTTTTAACAACAGGTTGGTGATAAATCAAAGCAAAGAAGACGAAAAGTTGCTATTACCATGGCAACCAACAAAGCGGTCAAACGACTGTGCTTGTGAGAACGTGAGTGCCAGAGGCAAGTATGGAGAATATACATATTGATGTTAGGGTGGAAAGTGTTGAAAACATATTAAATAAACACGTACGTCTGTTTTGATTCAGAATAATAATCAGAATACATCGTGGTAGTCACGTCTTCCTCTCTGCCAGAGAAAAAAAAAATCAAGAAATTAAAAAACACCCGATCGTAAACTTTTTGACACTTTTAAATTGGAAATCGAAATTCAGAAAACCACATACTTAAGATCCGTGAGGAATAGGTTGATAAAATTTACCGATTCCACATGACTCACAAATTTATCCAAATTTTCCAAGAAAAGCTGCGAAAGACAGAATTTCAGTATATATTTTATTATAAATAAATAAACAAATAAAAAAAACCAAAAATGCTCGCTCACATGACCGATTCCCCAGCCCCGGTCTTGAGTGCAAGAAACTTGTACCACTAATTTGGTTTCATTCAGCCATAAAAAAGTGATACTCACCTTGGGATTGTGGTCATGTATCAAATTAAGATTGATCCGATGACGGCGCATGACGGTAAAGGCCTCTCCATAGCTGAGACTGAAATACCAAAGGTACATTGATCAACATAACCACGCCCAATTCTAGATCAGAGTAGTCTATTTAAGGCGCTATTGTCCGAAGTTAGACTCTAGTATCTGATTTTAGACACTAGAATCTGATTTTAGACACTATGTCCGATTTTAGACACTAGCGTCTGCTTTTAGACACTTGCGTCTGATTTTAAACACTAGTGCCCGATTCTAGACACTGTTGTTCAATTTTAAACACTGTTCTCCACTTTTAGACGCTGGCGTATGATTTTAGACTGTGGTGACCGACTCTAGACACTATTGTCCAATTTTAGACTCTGTTCCCCACTTTTAGACGTTAGCGTGTGATTTTAGACAGTAGTGACTAATTTTAGACACTACTGTCCAATTTTAGACACTTTTCTCCACTCTTAAACAGTAGCGTCTGGTTTTAGACGGCATTGACGGATTTTAGACTCTATAGTGTCCTATTTTAGACACTAGAGTTTCGATTTTAGACAACAATGTCCCATTTTAGACACTGGAGTCTGCTTTTGGTCGCCAGTGTCTTAAATCCAATTATTCGGAGACTGGTGCCCGTTTTTAAAACACCAACGTCCGATTTTAGACACTAGTTACCTGGTTTCAAGTCTCGTCAAAAATCCAGTCTTATCACCAGGCCTACTCACCTGTCTAAACATTTCTTTAAGTACGACAAAACTAGTGATCGAGGATGAATAGTCTCTATATTTCCACGAGGCATCTACGAGGATAATCAGACAAAGATAACACTTCAGTTGTATACATTAGCCGCATAAGGAAAACTTAACCGTGTTTCTTTAGAAAGAAGCGACTAGGAAAACTTAATTCTTTCTGGATGGTGTGCGAGACCATCGCTTGTGAATCCACCCAGCAATTAGCGAGTATTTCCTGGCAGTTTGGCGGAGAGAGCATTGTGAGAGTTCAGAGTCTTACGTAAGAACACAACTCAGATGACCCCGTCATGGCCTCTCGGACCCAGACTTCTCGATTCAGAGTTCAACACGGTAACCTAAACGCCATCGCGTTTTCCGTAACTTGTTAAGAAAAGGAGGCTTGAATGTAAAAGAATTCCACTGTGGAAAAATTAAGTCTTTTAAAAGTATTCCTGCTCTCGTACCTGCAAAATAACTTTCGTATCTTGAGTAACAGCGACCACTATCCGTGAACCTCTCTCGACGCGTCTTATGTTTTCATCCAAAGGATGCGGTTTATCTTCAATCAAAACTGGCAAACCTACGACATCAAGGAGTAGTCTGAAGTAAGCTTTCGCTGAGATCAGACAAGTTTGTGGCGCTGAAGGTGATGGATTCTTAACCGCACTAACTCAGAGTTCGGATATGGAAAAATGTCACCTTAATTTTGCAAGTGCTTTATTTCTAAGAATTCGTGTCGATCTTAGTGATGAAAATAAGTTTCTAATCAAAAGGTCTGGAACCTACCTCGCGTGGTTGGTAAAAGACTTATACAACGCAACGTGTGCGCATGCGTTGTTAGAAGAAGAAATTCATCATGAACAGCGAAGGAAGAGCAGTTTGAAGCCACCTATAATGTAAAATTCAAATTATGTTCCGCTGTCAGCTGTGGTATTTGGCACTACGATAAAAACATCAAAATACAGAATCGTACCTCTTTGTTATTCGCATATAACCTTGAGTGTTCAGTCAATCCCAGAACGACTTCCTGTAAATTAAAAAAAAAAAGATTTCTTCGTTACGGCACAATGGCTTCGGGGAAAGTTTTCATGAGTCCAGATCAAAATGTCAGGGTTTAACTTTTGCCTGAGGTTGACGAATTTTGTATTTGACATTTAATTCTCGATTGGGAAACAATCAAAGTTCATCTGCCTTCACGGGTGTTTTTTTTTTATCTTGTTCCAGGAATTAATCCGCCATAGAAACTGGATATGACATCGCTGTTTTATTCATTTGACGAAGGTCCTTAAGTAAAATTGGGGCTTGAGGCTTTAGGAAGGGTGGGGAGGGAAGGGGGGGGGGGGGAGATTAATTCCTCACTGTGATACTATGACTGCACGTCTTTTCTGTCCGAAAGAAACTGCATCAAAAATGTCTAAACTACAGAAGGTGAGGAGACTCGGGTCAACTTTGACCACTGAACAAAATTATATTTGAGTTACAAACCTCATCTCCCACTAAGGCTGTTTTTACACACTGGCATGGTTGAGGGAGAGAGATTTCAAGTCCTCGACTGTTAAACCATGGTGATAATTTAGCCTGGCTTGAATCTGAAAACAAAATAAATATGTCACGTCAGATTTAGGAGACTTTTGAATAAGGACTCAACTCGCCTTTCAAGTTAGATACCTGAAGTGTAACTGAGTAAGTTTCCATTGATGAGCTCCACTAATACAGACTCAGTGTGACGACGGGCACAAAGACGAAGGACTGGCGTGTCGGTTTCAGTGGTGCGCCTGAGAAGAAAAGAGAAGAAATTGGGAGTAATAAAGCTTAGTGAAACCTTTACATCCTCCGTATTCTCTCTACTGTTCTCTAAACATTTCTAAGGTGCTGATAAGGAGAATTTGTTCAACAATAAAGAGCTTCTCTACATGGTGATCATTTCCTTTACTCTCGTGGCCTTAAAGTTTGATTCAGCAGTGATATTGTAAATTCTCCCCTCTAGCTTCTACACATTTCCTTGAAATTTTGCTGTGAGAATTTAGATGCTAGTCACTCTTGTGAGTAAAAGGGTTCATAGTGACTTGCATTCTCAAGTATGCTGGTTATGTAGACCTCTGTTTATTTGGATTTCTTAACAAATAAATTGTTAACAAACGAAAGGTAACGGAGAGTGTTTTGAAAAATCGAGGGTGCTCGCAAATCATGTAAAATAAAAAAAAAATCTCAAGAGTTTACCAGAATTTTACTCAGTTGATAGGAACAACTAGACACCCACCCATCATTGAGTTTAGAATCAATGACTTCTGCTGATATAACTTTGCATGTTATGTGGGTATATTGCCTGGCTTACAATCTACTATAATGAAACCCTGTTAATGGCAGACTGGCTGTGATTCACAAAGGAAATAGAAATAAGTAAGACTGTATCACTGTGAATACACATAAGTTCAACTCTTACCTGATAGCAATGCTATTAGCCCCATCTTCTGCAGAGATCTCTAATTCACAAACAATGTCTTTCTGACTCATGGTATCCCATCCAACTGCGATAAGGGTGCAGTCCTTCCACCAAATCATCTGCCGCCAACACAAGGCTCCTGTCCATACTGTTGGAAAGTCTTTGGTGTCTATACTGTTATGTACAAGAAACACATAATAAAGAATGAGTAAATAAGCAAGAAGCTTGTGTGCAAACATCAGTTAGAACTCCAAGCTACTCAAAGTTTCCATTCCACATCCTAAAATTACAAAATGGTTGCCTGGGTCTAGGATCGTCTTGTCTTCAAACCCTAAAACTTGGTTCTAAAAATGCAACAACATATCACATGGAGGTAAAACACAGGTATCCAAGTTGGTGACTAAGTTGCCAAAATTGTTTTTAAGTCCCCATGGGTACCAAAATGGTTGTAGCTTGGAAGAGAACACAAGTAAACAATTTAAATGCATCTTTTCATTATCTGTCAATTTCTGTACCAAGAGAAAGCATTTTGTAATGAGAAAAATAACAACACTGTGTTACCTGTAAATGCCAACAAGTTTTGGGGCTTTGCCAGGTGCCCTGAACACTTCTTTTACGCCATTTTCTGTCAATAATTTGAAGACTGCCATCTTACCATTGGACATCATAACTACCATATCACTACAGTGTGTGGGCGGAGCAAAGCTGATGGTGGACGCTGGGGATGGCAGGTCCAGGGCATAGGCAGACATTGGAGGGGGAACCACCATGTGTTTCATTGGAGTCAGCAACAACTTAGCTACAAATAAGATAAGGAATATCTGAACTAAACCTGGCTTTAGGGTTATTCTCCATACTGTTCTCTATACATTTCCTAGGATGCTGGCAAGGAGAATTTGTTCAACAATCAATAGGTTTTTAAGTTGGTGGTCATTCCCTTTAGCCTCCTGACCTTGACATTTAATTTATGGGTGACATCATAAGGAGGACTCAGATGCTAGTTATTTTTAGTGGAGCAAAGGGTAAAAATACACATGGCTGAATTCATAAATGGCCATGCATATTTACGCAAACCAAAACTTGACAATAACTTGCCACACCTATGTACATCTACATGTATGAACATAAAGGATCAATATCAGTATTTGGGCAACTGCCCACCTACCCCTCCCCTAACCCAACATTAACCTTAAGTTGTTGTCAATTGACTTTTGTTGAGTCAGGGGAGGGGTAGGTGGGCAGTTGCCCAGATACTGATATTGATCCGACATAAATGTGGGAACAAGGAAAATGTGGAAAACTTACTCATGAACTACTTACTTATGAACGAGATCTATTTTACACAGGGAACAGAGAATAATTTTAAATCAAAATTCCCAAACAATTAAAACACTTTCAAAAAGCTATAACTGTATTACAGACTATACCTCCATCAATGACTGCTACAGTGGACATGTTTTGTTCACTAGCCCCTTCACTATGAACTGTATTCCAACACCACTCATAACTCAAGTACTGGCCTCCTGTGCAAGGAAATTATTTTAAAATGCATTTGTTGAGCTCAGTGTCACCAGACCAAGACCACTAACTCATCTCAATTTTGGACAACTGGCACATGTAAGATCATATATATTTGCTTAATAATGACATTTATCTTGCAACCAATGTGCTACAATTTGCATGTGTTCATTCTTACCTCTCGTCATGATGTGCATTCTTAGGGCAGCCTCTGGGTCCCATAAAAGACAGGCCACTCTATGTTTAGCAGATGCTGGGAATTCCATCTGCTGCTTCAGATACCAGTGATAATTATTCACTGTCCACAACTGAACTGCAAGTCACAAGGTAAAACATTAATATGTTAGTGTTATCTTAGCATAGTATTAGTAAAAGAACAACTAGAGAACCATATCTAACAACATTGTTACTTGGAAAAGATGAGAGTGAGAGTGATTCCTACCACTTTAGTTTTACATCTAAATAAAAATGACACTCGTCTAATAAACCTTTTGATCCCCAAGAGTGACCAGCATCTAAATTCTCCTTGCAATATGACCCCTGAATCACGAGAATAAAGGACATGATCACCAAGGTCTCTGTTGTCGAACAAATTCTCCGTGTCAACATCTTAAGCAATGTATAGAGTACAGTGGGGAGAATATTTATAACGATGTTGGGGTTTACAGGGTTTATAAATGAAGAAAACAAACCATAAGACTTTGGTACAAATTCTTCTATCTGTTCTGTGCTTGGTAACTCTTCAGACCAGACAGCTAGTACTGATGAGTCATTATTCCATGCTATTTCCAATACCTTGTACAAGACATTATTACAACATACAAAATGTTAATATTTACCGAGCAGCCACTCTTTTGGGAAGTGGCACGTTGCAACCACACAATGACAACTATCAATGACAGTCTACTACAGCCCCCCCCCCCCCCAAAAAAAAACAAAAACAAAAAAAAGAAAGAAAGAAAGAAAGGCAACATGTTTAAGGCCACACACATCTGCTCTGATATTGTTATGCCCATGAGCTTTTTATAGCTATTATCATTTATGATCATAAAAGCCAGAGATTACAGCCTCAATGAGGTTTTTATTCAACTTAAACAAAACCATATTGTGCCAAATCAGCCATAAAATATTGTTACAGCATGTTTAATGCTTTAACCTTGTGGTGACCAGTTTCTCTTTACAATATCACCCCTGAATCACATATTGAGGTAACAAGAATAAAAGAAATGATCACCAGCAAAGGAAGTTCTGATGTGATTGTTATACAAATTCTCCTTTTTCACCTCATGTATGGAGAGCAGTATGGAGATTATGCATACTGATGTTACGGTGTAAACCATTAACTGCTATTTACCTGAACTTCCATCTTGCCAAAAGGAAGCACAAATTCTCCATGTCTGAGGCCATTTCTCTCAAAGAAAATCACTTCATGTCTATGAGGCTTGCGCTGGGTTGAAGCTATTAAGCTGCCTGATGGTCTAAAAAGGTAATTAATTTAATAATAATAATAAGTTCTTATATAGCGCATTAAAATTGAACTCTATGCGCTTGCCCTGAACTTGAATATAATAATCATGGTTTAGATTATAAAAACAAATGTTTAAAAAAAAGGAAAAAAGTAAAGGCAATTAAATAAAAACTGTATAAAAAAATAGAAAAAAAATAGAGGCAAATGAGCTTGAGGGAAAGCAACAAAACTTTGCTGATGACTTTCATGAACCTACCTCCAAAATAATGCCTGTTCCAATCCATCAACATTTTCACTTGTAGAGCTAAGTACACCTTCCCTATTCCACACTCTCAATTTCCTTGCACCTATCATCAAACATACAATCATTTTCATGTGTGACTTATGGTACATACATTTGGACGCTGAATAAAATTGTGAAAAAAATTAATTGACATGACTGGAGTCATAGAGCTCAGAATGAGCCATAGTTAGTGAAGTCAAAGTTGTACAATGCCCTTGAAAGCAAAGTATGATATTTAGAAGGTAGGAGTATTATGAACAAAAATGATGTGCTAAAGCAGATACCTGTCAAAGGATGGATTGCACTGGCTGCGAAAAATTGTCCATCACCACGCCAGCTGATTCTTGGTTTCCTGTCATCCCAACTTGCAGCAGGCTTGGCAATCTGTTGTAGAATGAAATCAAAGTCAATGCAATCCTACAAATGCAGCAAAAAAGATTCAAGTGAACTTCCTACTTGAAGTACCCTTCTGTGGATGCTAATAAAACTTCAAAGTAAAAACACTGTATGTAATTCTCTCTGTGAGATTTAAAGTACACAGGTATAAATATCACCACAAGTATATTACACCATGTACTAAAGAAAATCACACTCACAACTTCCTGTACATCAGCGGCTGTTGGTTTGCCTTGGGACCCATGGAACTGTGTTTCTTTTTTTCCCCAACCAACTGTGATTGGTTTTTCTGACAAGAAAATATATATATATGAATTAAGTCTTCACAGATCTGTATTTATATTCCTCTGTAAATCTAAAATTAAAAAAAAAAACCTTAACAATACTTGTAATAGTATAAAAATTAAAGATCTTTTGATAGTGAGTTGTGCCTTATTTTGGAGAGCCTGCAACAATTAATACAAAGGTGCTGTAAGCAATTTGATGACTCACCTTCACCAAACTCCTCTGAGTGAAAAGGGAACTCACAAATGGCATCAAAATCCTTTGTCATTATGATAAGAGTTTCTTCTCCTTAAAAATGTCAAAGGAAAAGTCTTCAGATTTCATAAAGATGTGTAAATGAGTTTTTGTGTGCTATATCAAAACAGTATACCAATAGAATTAATTCCTTAAAGGTCATCAACATGAATAATATTTTCCAACCTGTCATGAATACCACAAGCTCTTGATCAGGACTCCATTCCATACACCTGAGCCCATTGTCCACACTGCCAACACATTCAACCTGACAAAGGAACATATTGACTGAACCACATACCTGGACATGTCAAGATCCTCATCAAGGCTTAAATTTTTCAAATGATTTTTTCCTTTTTTTTCTCTTTTTTACATGATTTACTGGGAAATACTACCATCAAACTGTAATATATATTTTCTTCTCAATGATGAAAAGGTAAGTTGTGTGAGGTACAAATAATTCAAGATTTCAGTCTATCCAAAAAAAAACCTATTATAATTAACCTCCTCTTCTTCCCCTATTTCATCCCATGGCCTCTTCAACCCATCCCCTCTGATTTTAGCCATTGGGTTTGATGTTACTGGTTGATCATGAGTAGAGAGTTAGAAACTACAAAAGTATCTTGAGCGTGAACCAACACAAGCACCCCAGCCTGAGACAATGACTTGGGCAGGTCTCAAACCTAGAGCTTCAACTCACACTCCCACTTTGGGTTATTTTTGACTGTTCTTTTTTTTTTTTTGAGGGATTTGTTCTTGACAATTACCCAAACCAGACCTCGGCTTACCTGGTCAGTAACTGTATTCCAAAGAATTACATCTCCTTTTGCAGTGGCCACACATACAGATTCCAAGTCTGGCAAGTGCTGCATTCCAATAACACAGCCACTACCATCTTCTGGCAGGTACCCATCGGATACAAGTGAAACAGAACTTACAGCCTGTAGAATAAAAATGAAAAAAAAACTCAAAAAATGCTAATGGCTATTATACAGCAGTTATTAATAGTGGCTTCAAAAATTATCAAGGGCGAATTTTCAAAGGCAGAATTATACGGCCTACTGCAGTGTTGTACCTGATGAGTGGAGGGCTGGACGCCTTTTATGTGAGTAGATGTTGCAGTGTAAATAACTCCACAATCACAATCCACTGAAAAACAAAATGGGTCCTCAGTTCCTTCCAACTCCAGCACTGGAAAACTCCTCAGTAGTTCAAGATTTCTCATGATCTATATCCAAAGAAAAAGACTATTCCCTTTATGACACGGGTTATGTATCATGAAATTAACTCAGCTGAGCTAGTCTGTTTCGGACACGTGCTTGGCGAAGGGTTTCTGATCGTCCTTTCCTTCGAACGAGTCAAGCGGAAATACACATAAAATGGCAGGTTATAATTTCTAGACTCTGCTTCGCCATAAATACTCAAACATTACTGATAGAGGAGTAACGAAACCATACACAAAAGATTCACATGTGCAGAAAACAACGTCCTCATGATAAACACCGCTGGCTATCATCATCCAGAAAGACTGGAAACTACTTCCTAGTTCTCCACATTTGCAATCTAGTTCATGAGCGTTCATGTCATTTGTTGTCAAACTTCTGCGTTGTAAGATATCTCAGTATCATCTGTCCCCTTCAGCCTGATTATAAAATCGTACAGGTTTGGGCAAAACAATTTGGTTTATTTAAATAGTGAAAATAATTTCGCGGCGATGTTTTTGAGCCCGCCATATTTGCGTGTGTGTCGCTATTGACTGAGCCCGCGAATTTACGGACGTTGATTATCATGGCGACGGAATCCAGCAATTGAAAAGGCGCTAAATTTCATCTGCTGGTATTCGCACATAGGCTAACTGACACGCTTCCATCAATTTTGGTCAGGAAAGTTTAATGTGTGAGTCTGTAAATGAAGAAATTTGGGAAGCTCAGTCCAAAGGACATACCAATCTCTACTTGAATTATCGTAAGCTTAGCGAGTTGCCTGAGGAACTTCTTAATTTGTCCAGGATAAAGAAACTTTACCTCAAACAAAATGTTCTGACCAAGCTGGTAAGAAACCATAAATAGGCTTAATAAAACATTTGAAAAACTATTTCCTCATGAATTTATCGCATTGCTTTTTACACTTTAGCCTGCAGATATCTGGAAGCTTGAAAATCTGGTAGAGCTGTAAGTAAACTTTATGTGAAGATCGTTTTTAAGTTAATGAGCAAATACTCTCATTTAAGTAAATCAGCTTTTGAGGTTTCCCTTTGCTCCATAAAGTAACCCACTTTCCTTGAGTTTGCTAACTTTGACTCAGATCAACTGGGTCAGTACAGGTCTTTGAACAAGTTAAGTGGGTTGGTGTACTGTGGTATATTTTATAGACTTCTCTATTGTGATTATGACCCATTTAAAAATGGCTTTGGCACATATTTAAACTGGAGGTTAGAGAATTAAGATGCTTGCAGGGTTAAGAAGTGGTTCTAATAGCAACAAACTAATTTAAAGGTGGTATTGAATTAATCTGATTTATGATGCTTTTCTTTTTGCAGATATATACATTCTAATTACCTTCATCACCTTCCAGATGGTAAATAATTCTTGCCAGCCTTTTCATGATTATAAAATATTGAAAATGTGAACTTCACCAATTTTTTCTTTTCATAATTCTATAGTGGTAATCTTTTGAAAATTACCAGTTAACCATGCAAAGAACTCCATGCTACACTAGCATTAATTATTAAGGTTAATCTAAAGTCAGTCTCTTATTCAAACTTAACTTTACCTCCACTTTAGTTTTGCACATTTTTAATGAGGCTTTTATCAAAAACATTTTATGAGATTTTCAGAGATTTATGCTATTCAGCTGAGATTCTGAGACAAGGCAATTTAAAGATACTGGTGTTCATGCATGGGAGTCTGATGAAAATGTGTTATTCTGGCTTGTAGAGATTGGAAAACTTCAAGTGCTTGAAAAATTAAATGTCAGTTTCAACCACCTTAAGATCCTGACGCCAGCTGTCAGTCAGCTGAAATCACTGACTTCCCTTGAACTTGCCAACAATCAGTTGACATTTTTACCTAAAGGTAGGCTTGTTATTTTAGTCAGAAGAACATTGTTGTTTATATTTTTTGATGATTAGATTTAGCCCTGACCAGGCAGGCCTTTTTACTTTTAAGATGTGCTTGATTGCTTCATTGTCAAGGAAAAGTGATGAATTACAATAACAAATCACACTGATTCTTTGGTTGTTTGTAGAGCTTGGAAATCTCACCAATTTGAGAGATCTCAATGTCATGAACAACAAGCTTGAGTGGTTACCATGGCAACTGTGTAACTGTTCATCTCTCAAGATTCTGTCATTTGATGGGAATGCAGTTCAGAAGATTCCACATCAATTAATGACACATCAAGGACTGGCTGAACTGTATGCAAGTGGAAATAATTTGTGTACTTTGCCTCAAGGTAAGCTTTTAGCATCCCTAAATCCACATACCTGTAGATAATTCAAGTTTGGCTATGTTTAACTGCTAAAGAGAAATTCATAGTACTGCCAAGAAGAAAGTTTTTTTTCCTTCAAGTTCAGTGGATGATACATAAATAGATCTTCATGATTCGGAATTTTACTTGTGTTGTGACTTTGCAGATTTGAATAAACTCTCATCGCTGGAGTCACTGATACTGGATCACAATACCAAACTTCAGCTGTTACCAGCAACACTATTGAAAATGAAGGATTTAAAAATGATTGGCTTGAGTGGTTGGTATGTGTTTCAAATCTGAAACAAATTTACCCTGATAACCTTCTGTGATGGTCCACATTATTGTAAATTATGGCCATGAAGAACTTATTCACTCAAAGAGTGGTGTAAGGAAAAAGTTACAAAATTATGTGATAAAAAATGTCATTTACATTAGTTAATTGATCACTTTCTTATTTCAAATTGTCTCTGTTGCCAATTCTGGGTGGAAAAATCCAAAGGAGTACTGAACAGTAGTTGCAGACCCCTTTATACAGCAAGCTGGAAGTTCTCTTCTCACATTTTATTTTAGACTTAGAGATGGGACATAAATTTGAGTAACATTCTCTCTTGATTACTTAGTGCCACTAAGGAGCTGGCCAGACTGCCAGGGAGAGATTCTAAAGGTGAGAATTTAAGTCTAAGCAGTATCATTTTAATTACATTCCTTTGTAAAGGTGCTACCAATTCATTGAAGATTATTATATTCCAAGTTTTGGGAGACTGTTACAACTAATATGTTTTACAGTTGCAATATATTTTTTCGACAGAATTGGTGGAGGTGTTGAATTTAAGGAATATTCTTCAAGGGAGCAGTGGAAGAATCCTTCCTCTCCTTGAGTTGTGCTTCAGAAAAGTGCACTGCTTTGGTGAGTATATCTTATTGTCTTTAGTTTGATTGTTGTTGTGACTTACAATTAAAAGTTTTGCTTAATTGAAATGTACTCGATTTCTGGCATTGAATTAAATATGAAACTTTGGAGTACTTGGCCTGGCAAGATTACCCAGTGGGTAAGTCAGAATTTTTAGGTAATGTACAAACTACCAAAAATTTTCCAGAAAGGTGGAAAAGTGTGGTAGTCATATTAATGACATAAAAATAAGGAGTTGCAAAAGGTCACGCAAATCAAAAGACAAATATGATCAGTGCAGAAAAATGTGCATTTTTGTTGTTCTCTGCAGAGTGCTCACACAATTAACCAAATGTGTTCAAGAGTTTTTTTAGATCCTACACTGTAGGACCGAAAATATAATTTTTAATTGCGATACGCACGATTAACGCAGCGTTTTTTGTACACCAACTTTTTAAATTATTTAGATTATTGTAACATATAGTTTTTTAGTGTGCCTATAACATCATGGTCAGGTATTGAATAGTTTTGCACTTTATTCCCACAAACCAATGCTTCTGCAGATCTTCTGGTGATCTCTGTATTTGTAATTCTTATTGGTAAATTAAGATCGTGTTTTTGTGACTGAAAACTTGTTACTTCTAAAGACTTCCGTTACCATGGTTATTTCCTTTGCATAGTTCGGTCAGTCAGTGTTGAAAAACTTTCGTCCCTTGAGCTACCATCCCACGTGACCACGCTACTGGCTGCGCCCACAGGACACTGTTTCGTTTGTGACAGTTCTTACTTCACAGCGGTATTCCTCCAGGAAGAAAGCGCAAACACAGCATTGCGTATTACCAGCGCCGAAATCTTCCTAGGATTGCGTGACACTACGTGTTCATTTGCCTTTTGTTGCTGCTCGAGGAGCTGTTTGGATGAAGTGAGCAGATTGCATGATATTCCTGATTAGGGAACAGAATAATTTGCAGATGTCCTGTTAGAACGGGCTTATATTTTCATAGGGAAAATACAGTAATTTCCACGAGTTAACATGGTGATCTAAAGTCTGTCTTCATACGTTGTTGTAGACAAGAGTTCCACTGAAATACTTCATCGAAGTGTTGCCCCCAATGTAATTGAAGATACACATAGGAACTCTAGTAAAGTGACCGTTTGGGCTGAAAGGAAAACAAAAGGATTACGTAAAACTCCCAGAGTGTAATGAAAGAAGTCTTTGATACATCGATCATGGGATTGTCATGTCTTACCTCTGTGGTAAAGGAATTCCCAGGCTGAGGAATTCCTAATAATGTGAAGAGTAATGAAGTGATATTTTGTACACTCGAAGGGGTATTTCTAGTAGTGCAAGGGGTATTTTTTACTGTTCTAGGGGTCTTTCTTAAAGCCCTAATGGTATTCTTTGCGTTATAGGGCATTATGTTTTTTTTTGTTTTTTTTGTTTTTTTTGCGGTTCTAGAAGTATTTCTTGCATTCCTTGAGGTATTTTATTCAGAAAACTATAAAATCGCCCAATATCCAGATTAACTGATTCGTATGTGAGGCTGAGTTTGTTTCATTAACAATTTAGGCGTCAAATTGTTCATTTTGAACAAAAAAGGTATTTGTCGAAGGAATTACTCCTTCCGATTGTTTCTCAATAAACTTCGAATGTCATTAGTATGCTGGTAATTTTGTTTAAATAATAATTTTTTCAGTTGACACACTTCGACATGTACGTGCAATTTGTCAAATTTACTCTGTTCGGATTCATCTGCTTATGGCCATTGTTAACTACGTAATTTGTCATGAACAGAAATAGCCTTTTTAGTGACTCCGTGGATTCAGCTGCTAGGACTACAAATTCATCATAGGGAACTCAAGGTACTTGGAAATTAAAGCTTCATTCACAGAGTAATGTTGATTCGAACTGTTTGAGGGAAATTGCCAAAGAGACATGGTTGTGATTGTAATTGGAATTGATAATTAATCTGCCAGTTGTTATAATCTGATACAAACAGCAATACTCCGTGCCCTTATCTCAGTCTCTATTCAAAATGGTTTTTTTGATGCGCTCGTACATATATTTGAACAAGCACATCATTCTGTCTCTAATTAACACTTTCAGACAGTGTACAAGCGGTCATAAGAATTATAAATTCTGTATAAGATGAATTTTTTTACGCAAGGGTTTTGTTTCCATACAAAAGAAAGTACTTAAACCACAGGAGGTAAATTGTTCTTCATGTAGTTTTCATGTTCATTGTTCCAAGTGAATGGTTTTTCGTTCAAAGCAAGGCAGTCATTTTCAAAACTCTTTAGTGTTGTTTCGTAACTTGCCGACTTAACTTGTGGCGCTGTAACTCGTCGAAAACTTTTTTCCTTTTGCAATTAACACACAATGAACGATAGTGAAGACAACGGCGTAGATGACCGCTCCTCGCTGTCTGAGGAAGAATACGTGGCTGGATATCAGATGTACGATATATTTCTGAACGCTGCCATTGCGGTTCGACTTCTCTTGGCCTTCCTGGGTGTCATTGCTAACTGTACTGTATGTGGTGTTCTTCTCCGACAGAAAAGATTAACGAAGAACTTTTCGAACTTTCACCTCTTCAATATTGCATTAACTGATATAGTTTTTAGAGTAGCTCTTACGCCAGTGCTTGCTACCATTGAAAACACTGCTGTTGAACATGGCAACAACGCAATTTGCAAGCTGGGCGCGTTTTCCTCCTACACCACATTGGCCGTAACATTCGCGCTGCTTTTAGGAATGGCTTTCGATCGCTATGTACATATTGTTCTTCCTATTAAGGCAAGGAAAATCACATGGAAACACAGCCGAAATGTTGTGGTGATTTCATGGCTGTACGCGGCACTTTGTTCATCGCCAATCCTGTTCAGTATGAAATACACTAAATTGGATTGGAATCTGACGGACAGGTCAGTATACGAGATATGTCTTCCCATTTTGGGCATTCCATCTCAAGTTTCCTCCACTGTGTTTCTCGTGTTTGCATTTTTAATCCCTTTAGTTCTTATGGCTGTGGCATACAGCAAGGTTTTGAAAAGTCTCTGGCAGCACGCGCGAAGTAAAGTGATCAATTCAAAACTAGCCGAAGCAAAGGTTCGAGCCGTTAAAATGATGGTCATTATTGTATTGGCTTATTCCATCAGCTGGGGTCCACGACTGATTTGGCTTTGCCTTCAAGCTTTCGAGGTTATTTCTCTGGAAGACGATTATTTCTGGGAGGGAGAAGAAATTTCCTACGAATCCCAAATAGAAGCGCAGAAATACTACATAAAGTTACTAATCATTGACGATATCATAGATGCGTTTACATTTACAAGTTCGATTCTTAATCCCGTAATCTTTGGTTATTACAGTAAGTCTTTTCGAGAAGATCTCAAGAAATGTTGTTGTGGAGGAAAGTGTTTTAACATTTTTCAAAAATGCAAGCACAAGGCAAAAAAACCGAAAAAAGTTGAAAAGAAAACTGTCCGTTTAGTTGAAATAATGAAAACTACCGAAATTGTCTTGATGGAAGAAGACAACACGAGAGCTGTTGGAAATAGTTACTCGTTAGAAAACGGAGCAGTAATTACAGAAGATTGTCTAGAAACGAAGTTGTAAAATGCGAAAGATATTGTGTTTATGAAAAATGTAATTGTGCGGTCTGTTTGAAGAACGTTAACTGGCGATCATTGTTTAATTTATACGCAGCGCAGGCTGTTTAAGCCGCAGGCAGGCTTTTAATGACATTTTAATCACATTTGAATTATGCATTAGTTAAAGAGGTAGGTAGCGAACACTTACCTCAGAAGTAATCATCACGATTAGATAATTGAAAATCGAAAAAATAAAGTTTTTAGTAGAAAAGTGGTAGTAAACGACTGAAGATGTACCTCAAGGGACATGTACCGAATCAAGTTACTGTTGTGTTCGAGTAAGCCACGGATTTCCTAAGGTTTCCCGCGAAACTGATCCGGGCGGGCTTCGCCGCTCGTGCCTAAGCTTAAATAAGAGCGTGCTCACATACTGAATTCTAGTTTTGTTTTCTGTCAATAATCAATCGAGAAACGACTCAGTGATGCCAATTGTTGAATTTTACTATTGTCAGCTTGAAGAGACCCGTTTAGTGTAAGAGGATCAGGAGTGGCCCCTTTTTTCTTAGACGCTTTCATCACTAAAACCGACAATCTCCTAGAAATTTATGCCAAGTGCGAAGGTCATGTGAACGAGGACATGTTGGAGAAGAATTTTGTATTTGAATTAAAGTACTGTGGGTGAACTTTGTACATGTAGAATTATTTTTGGAAACCAATTGTGCAAGTAGTGCGAGATCACCAAATTTGCGGCTTAATCTCAGAACGGGAGCGCTGACGTGAAATAATTCACGCTTCCAATGGAAGCTTGACGTTAGCCATGGGAGTGTTGCCTTCAGCCAGCGCACAGAGTAGATACCGTAAATATTTTGAACCCGGGGGTAACATTTGATCGTGTAGTTTGTTCGTTCGGGTGAGGGTAGTCTTGAGAAGGGCCGTTGTTGGTATTAATGACTGACGTTACAACTGCCCAGACGGAAGTAATCATTTGATACCGTAAAGGGAACATTAAGCTGGAACGCTAAGACCTCAACGTTCGCGATCCACACTCGAATTAGCTCTCCCCTCCCCCGTCTCCTCTTCATTTCGGCGCCAGCCACCCAGGCTATCACATGTTATTAAATGAAAGTCAGACAAATGTTAGTTTATTTTTCCAATCGACGTTTTCTTAGGCGTTGTATACTTCTTCTCTCGAAATAGTTTTATCAGTTTAAAACTGAAATTATTTGATGCATCGATACCGCCACAACTTTCGTTTGTTCCTTTTGTGCTAAAATAATATGCATTGTTTTAATCATTCTTTATGACATGCTTGGTTACCACAGCGATACTATAGCTCCTTAGAAGCGCCTTTAATTTTAGTGCTATGTATTCATAACTAAAAAAACGAGTTCTTTGACCCACATATTTTAAATTGCAATCAGCGTATTAAAAATTCATTTT